TAGGCTGTGAATAAAGCTTTAAGTCCATTGGTCAGTCTCTTCCTGCCGTCCTTCCTGCCTTCCCTCTGAGATGTCAGTCTGTTCTGTGTTTCTGTGTCTCTGGATCTATTTTGTTCATCAGTTTATTTTGTTCATTAGATTCCACACAGGAGTAAGATCATGTGATACTTGTCTGTCTCTGACTGGCTTATTTCACTTAGCATAATACTCTCCAGGTCCCATCATGCTATCTCAAAGGGCAAGGGATCCTTCTTTTTTATAGCTGCATAGTATTCCATGGTGTAAATGTCCAAGAAGTTGTTTGATATGATTTCAATCTTCTTGAACTTGTAGAGGCTTGTTTTGTGTCCTAATATGTAGTCTATCTTTGAGAATGTCCCATGTACACTTGAGGAGAATGCCTATTCTGCAGCTTTGTAGTGGAATATTCTGTAAAAGTCAATCAAATCCACCTGATCTGGTGTGTCATTTAGAGTCACTGTTTCCTTGTTGATTTTTTGTCTGGAAGATCTATCCAATAAAATCAGTGGCATGCTAAACTCCCCTACTATGACTGTATTGCTGTTGATCTCTCCATTAAAGTCCTCCAGAAGTTTTTTTTCCTCCAGCCTGTGTGATCTTTTGTTCTGAGGTGGGACTCTGGTAGACAGCATATATTTGGGTTTTGTTTTCTTATCCATTCAGTTACCCTATATATTTTGATTGGGACATTTAATCCATTTATATTTAAGGTTATTATTGATAGGTACTTATCTATTGCAATTTTATTTCTTTATGCCTATGCTTCTCATTCTCTCTATTTCACCTTCTTATTACAGCAGTCCCTTTAACATTTCTTGCAGTGATGGTTTGGTGGTGATAAACCCTTTTAGCCTTTTTTTCATCTGAGAAGCTCTTTATTTCACCACCTATCTTGAATGATAGCCTTGTTGGGTAGAGCAGGCTTGGTTTTAGATCCTTGCTTTTCATTACCTTGACTACTTCATGCCATTCCCTTCTGGCCTGTAGAGTTTCTGATGAGCAATCAGCTGACAGCCTTATGGGAGCTCCTTTGTAGGTAACAGATTGCTTTTCTCTTGCTGCCTTTAAGATTCTCTTTGTCTTGAATTTTTGGCATTTTAATTATGATGTGTCTGGGTGTGGGCCTCTTTGGGTTCTTCTTGCTTGGGACCTCTGTGCCTCCTGAACTTGTATGACTTTTTCCTAGACCAGGTTAGGGAAGTTTTCTGCCATTATTTCTTCAAACAGGTTCTCTAACCCTTGCTCACTTTCAACCTCTTCTGGCACTCCTGTGATGCAAATATTGTTAATTTCATGTTGTCCCACAGCTCCCTAAGCTGTTGTCCTGTTTTTTAACTGTTTTTTCTTTTTGGATCTCTAATTGAGTGCTTTTTACTACCTTGTCTTCTAATTCACTGATCCGATCCTCACCTTCCCCTAAAACCCTGCTTATTCCTGCCAATGCTTTTTAAAAAATTTTCTACTATGTCATTCTTAATTTTCTTCATAGTTTCCATTTCTTTTCTCATGCTGTTGAGCATCCTTATGATCAGTATTCTGAACTTTATATCTGCTAGGTTGCTTATCTCCATTTCATTTAGCTCTTCTTCTGGAGACTTCTTTTGTTCTTTTATTTGGGGCTCATTTTTTTGTCTCCCCATTTTGGCTGCCTGTTTGGATTTGTTTCTATGTATTAGGTAGATCTGCTAGGACTCCCAATCTTTTGGATGGTCTCTGGTGCGGGCCCTGTCAGATGCTGTTTGTGACTGGCCTTGAGTAGCCTATTTAAAGCTTTAGGCACTGCACAGCTTGTGGTTCCCTCTGCTGGGGCTGCATGCATTTGGAAAGGACCAAGGTCTGCTTTTCCAAATCCTGGGTATAGAAGCAAATTAGGCAGAGACTCAGAGCTCCCAGAAGCTGATTGTTATTCAGTCTCTTAATGAGCGTCAGGCTGTAGAAACTCCACAGGGTGGGGTGAGAAGTTTTCCAACAGGGTGGGGCAACTGCTTCCCCCCCCAGGCAAAGCTGCTTGGTCTGTAAAAGTCTGCCGGAGAAAAATGTCCTCTACCAAATGTGGGAATGACTCAGTACAGGAATCCAGATGGCTGCCCTCTGAGCTCTATCCCTCAAGCCAGCAGCTCTGGAGTCTCCTCACACAGCTCTAGGAGGAAGAATGTTTTTGCAGTCCTTTGCTGGAGACTTGAATTCTGTTGGGTTGGACACCCAGCTCTAGATTCAACCCCCAAAATGTTTTGTTAAGCATCTAAATGCACTGGTTTAACTTTTGGGGGGAAGGGATCCCATGCTTCTTTGAGTGTCTTCCCAGGAAAATGCACATAGGTTTCTCAGATTTTTGACCTCCACCTCCACCCCCCAACCCAGAGGTGTCTGTCTTCTTCCTCTGCATTTCCATTTTCCTCTAAGAAAGGCATTCCCTGATTTTACTTTTAAAAAGCCCTTCCCGCCCACGTTACTCTTTTTCATAAACACCCTGTTTTTATTTCCTCCCCTGTACTCCTCACCTTCTTGTTTTATTTACTTTTTAAATTGTCTGTCTTGTTTAAAATGTATTTATTCCTAGAATGACTGTGTTAGTGATGTCTATGAATATATTTTTAAAAGTAAGATAAACACATACATCAGTAAATTCTACAACTGCATATGCTGCAGTTAGGACTTTTAAATAAATTCTCACCCATATTTCCACCTTTATTTAGATTTTTCTGCAAGACTTGATTTCTACAGTTTGAATTGCTTAAAAAGTCTCCCTGACCTTCAGGTGCCTATACTCTGTTTTCTTAGCCTGTGTTATGAAGTTACTTTGAATTTTGATTTAAGTTTCAGGATCAGAACTTACTTTCTGGTGCCAGGAAAGCTGTAGCTTGGCTCCTCTTTCTGGTAGTCGGGACCCTCCCACCTCATTTGCTTTGAACGGAACACTCTCTTTAGGACACTTTCTTTAAGGAACTTGGAGATGATCTTTTCTCTTTGAACATTACTGAATACTTTGCCTTCTGGAAGCCAGCTGATCTTGTCACATCCACCGTGGCAGAGGGTAAGTGGAAGGTGTTTGGGAGACACAATAGCCCTCTTGGGAACAAAAACAAACAAACAAATAAAAAAAGGAATTGCTGTTTACCTAAAAGTCTTGAATAGATCAGCCTAACTAGAAAAACAACCCAGAGTCCTGCAGCTGCTATGCTGAGAGGTGCTGCTGGCCCTTTATAGCAACTCATGTCACAATAAGACAAGGAGGGCTGGCTTAGAAGGATTTTTTTCTCATCTTGTGAGAAAATAGTAACATTAAAAACGTGACTGTGAATATATTGGGCACTGAAGAATAGAATTAGAAGTGGAATGCAAAGCAAGATACAAATGGATTTGTTTTATCAAAGAGCATTAGTACCATGGGTCCGGTTGGCTGCGATCAAGATCACACTAGTCAGCAGCAGGGCGTTACCAGCCTCCGTTCTTGACTGTTAACTCCCATCCTGGTTCAGTGTTCTTTCCACCTCCCCATTATTAGAGAAAATGAATGAGATTGATTTCTTGAAGAACTCTTACCCATGGCAAAGAAAATAGACATCACTTCCTTGGATGGCTTAAAACATGGTTTGTTTTTTCCTACTTATGTAAATGAGGATTTAGAGTAAGACACTCAAATTTGCTTGGAAGGAAGAAGCCTCTGGCTATCAAAATATTCTAAACCCCTGACCTACACCAATTCTCTTCTCTCTCCAAAAACACCCATGAAATTATGAGGGTCACATTATATTCAAGTGATTCTGGTTAGCTCTGTAACATATTTTAAATATATTCGTAGTTAAAGTGTATCTTATGCTAAGTGAAATAAGCCAGTCAGAGAAAGACAAGTACCACATGATCTCATTTATATGTGGAATCTAATGAACAAAATAAACTGAAGAAAAAATAGACCCAGAGACATGGAAGCATGCAACAGACTGAGGGAAGGGTGAGGGTGTGGCAAAAGAAATTAACCAAAGAACTTATATTCATATATGCATAACCTATGGACCCAGACAACAGTGCCATGAAAGCCTGGAATGGGGGCAGGAGTGGGGCGGAGGAGGTCAGTGGGGGAAGAAGGGGGGCACTGTAATACTTTCAACAATAAAGATAGATTCTAAAAAAGAAAGTATCTTTTATTTATTTTTTAAAGTTTTACTTTTTAAGTTTGCAAGTTGAAAATTAAGTGAAATTGTTTGTCTCCTACTCTGATGCTATAACACTAATGCTATGATATAATCATGATGTTTTTATAGTCTTGACCAAAGGTCTTTCAGTTTGGTGAGAAGCTGGCCATCATCACCAGCTTTTGTCCTAGCTCCCTTGGCTCCATGGCTGTCCCTGCCTCTCACCATCCTGCAGTGTCCTTACCCGTCCAGTTCACAGAGCAGGGCAATTGCGGTGACCTGGGCTCAGCTGATGAAGCGTGCGGAGATTAAGGGGTAGCTATAGTAAACCTTATTATTTGTATTTTTGCCCCAAATCTGGGAGTTCTTGGCAGCCACTGTATTGCTTCGGGCTGCTATTAAGTGTGGTGATTTAAGACTTAGTACTTCTCCTATCCTCTGTTTTTGGTTCACAATGAAGAATGGCTTCTATCGGTAAAGCTAGAATTGAGCGTTTTTTTGTTTGTTTACTTTGTTTCCTCAGTGTTAATTTGGTTAAGAGAAAAGAAGCAATTTGGTGGCTTACCTGTGTTAATTGGGACATTTCCTTGGTTTTGGATGACGAAGCTCTTTCCTCAGTTCTACTCAAGAACTGTGCTGATGTAGCCACTCTCCCTCAGGGCCGTGCAGCCTTAATTACGGACAACAGGGCGCACAGCCTCTACTAAGTGCCGGGTGGGAAAATAACACTGGGTGTGTTCTACACACCGTTTTCCTCTTTCCTTTTAGGAAAGCCTCTGTTTTCCTCAGATACTGTCCATGTCCAGACAGAAAACTGGAGTTCCTGTCTGAAATCCCTGTGAGACTTGTCAAGGTATTTTTGACAGGCTGAGTTCCTCGGGTTTGAAGATGCAGGATGAGCTCTCGGAGTTCCAGGCCAGGATCTGGGCCATTGTGACTCTTGGAATGCTAAGCAGTCAGAGATGAGAAAACAGACTCCGTGATACCTTCTTGGAGATGGCGAAAAGCTTGGAGAAACAGCAATCGCAAGGGGCTTCACTCTTCAAATTCTCTATTTGTTCTTCTCTGTAACTCAGTGTGTCATCATGGGAACAGCCCCCCAAAATCAAATTGTACGGAAACTTCCACTTCTTGACAAATTAAAGACACCTAAACACAATGACCATCTTGAAGTCCTGCATCACACCTTTGAGACTCTATCTAGCCTCCATACGCTGCTTCCAAATCATTTGATGGAGCTACTTTATTCCTACAAGAGTGAGCAGGACAAACAAAAATGTATGTGGACAGAGGGTGAGTGTGAACTCTTTTTAGTAAGTTTTTAGTATCTTGGTACCAGCTGCCGCCTTTTTCAGCCACAAGTAAGACCTTGTTCTTTACACTGCAGGTGTACTCAGTCCTTGCGACCCCGAGCTCCATGCTGATCATGCTATAGGGCCCCCCGTTCTCAGAGCGCACTGTAGAATTAACCATGCGCCAACTTCACCGTCACGCCTGCACATTCCTTTTAAGAATCAAGATAGGTCTGTCGCTGTTCTCTATGAAAAGCATACCTGTGGAAAGATGGAAGGGAATTAAGCGGGAGATACCACTAAATTTACAATTTCAGCTTTAGATTTGACTTGAAGATTCATGACTTCAAGCTTTGAAGTTTATTCCTGGGCTCTATTTCCTACTATTCCTTTCTCCTATTGCCAGGATTGTATCACCCCAGAGAAAAGCTGGATATTTCCCCTGAGGGTCAGAAGCAACTTTCACTTGTTGCAGTTTGGAGTGGCTCACCGCTCCCGAAATTCCATCAGGATGGATAACTGGACTGATTTGCAGAACAGTTCATGCTTAATTGAAGGACAAATGTAGATGGTAGCCACCTGTGCCCATGAACCTAGAAAGCTAAATAGCAGCTGTCACAGTGATTAAGACACAAATCCTAGGTAACAAAGTAGGAACTGGGGTAATGATTTTCAAACATTATGGCAAATTTGACCATTTGTATTCTGACTGATCCCTAATCCCTGAATCCACAGTATTGTGAATCAATCCCACTATCAGATTACACTAAAGATTACATAAAAATCATCAAGAGAAATATAAGCAACCAAGTAGACTAGATAAGTGTTAACAGACAGGCAACTCACAAATGAAATACAAATCATCAATAAGCATGAAGATATTCAAACACTCTATCAGGTAATCAGGAAAGTAAAAGATTAATCAAGGACATGTTCTCAGGCCACCATCCTGATCAAATTGAAAAGATTCATAATGATACACATGTGGGGAAATAAATACTTTCACAGTCGATGGCATGTTAATTGGGTCAGTCTTTTTCAAAGATAATTCAGAAGTCCTTCTCAAAATTAAAAGGTAGGGTATTGGCTTATTGAATGAGCTCAACATCCAAACTCTATACCCTTGTCCAGTTTCCAGCCTCTCTGCTCCCCACTGCTCAGGCCTGACTTAGACTCAGAAACTGGGAGTGGGCCTGGCAGTGTAGGGGGTTCCTTTTTCTTACTCTGCTCCCTCCCTCACTGGCTTCTGTTAAGTTGCCAGGGAAGAGGGTGGGAGGAACTGTAAAGCTTTTTCTTGATTGGAGAAACATCAGGTCGTCACTCGTGCTCTCTGGGCTTTCGAAGTCTGAGCTTTTCTTCCCTGGTATTTGTGCAGGTTCTTTGGCGGGTTCCCCTTGCTGGAGGTCTCTCACCTGATGGCCTTCTGCTGGCATATCTCCTCTTCCCCCCACCCCCCATCTTGGGTATGGTACACTTCTGTTCTATTTCAACTGACATGGCCTCGCCCTTTGGACAAAGCCCTCTTGAAGTGCTATTCAAGACGGCTCAAAACCAACTATTTTCCGGGGGGAGTTCACACATAGCTCATAGAAATGTGCACCCCTGTCCTCTGTGTCTTTACCAGTTGGTAAGAGTACACTGGCTCCCAACACTGACCTTTTTTCTCCTTGGCCACAAGCAACTGTGGTCCCGGCCATTTACCAAGAGACTTTTTCCAAGTGTTAGAGGTTGAGTTGTGTCCCCAAAGGATATGTTGAAGTCCTAACGCCCAGCTCTCCAGAATGTTGACCTTATTTGGAAATAGGGTTTTTGTAGAGGTGCAGATGTAATTAGGATGAGGTCATACTGGAATAGGGGGGTTCATCCAATATGACTGGTCCTTATAACAGAGACACACAGGGAGAAGATGGCCATGGGACAGCAGAAGCAGAGATTGGAGTGATGTGTCTGTCAGTAGGGTAGCACTAAGGACAGCCAGCAAACCCTAGAAACTAGGGAGAGGCAAGGACAAATTCTCTCCCAGAGGTTTTAGAGGGAACACAGGCCCGATGACACCAGCTTGGCTTTGGACTTCTAGCCTCCAGAACTTTGAGACAATACATTTGTTGTTTAAAGCCACCTAGTTGGTGGTTCTATGCTGTGGCAGCCCTAGAAACTAATAAATTAGGTGTCACAGGACACAGCTTAGTACCTTCATTTGCCAGGGGGAGGGGAGGTGCTACAGTACACAGCACTACAGTAACTCTGCCTAAAGAAATCTTCACATGCCTTAAAGAAGGTTTAGCCTTTTCTTATATTGTAAATAGGTGGGTGTTGGCACCTACTGGATTTTTCTTAGAACAAAATAGAGACAACAGAAAAATTCACATTTTAACATATCCTTATATATGCATGTCCTTCAACTTAGCAATACCACTTCTTTTTTAAAAAATTTATCTTTATTGTTGAAAGTATTACAGGTGCCCCATTTCTCCCCCTTGATCCTCTCCCCTCTCCTTCCTCCCCCCTCCCCAGGCCTTCACCCCATTATTGTCTGTGTCCATGGGTTATGCATATAAGTTCTTTGGTTAATCTCTTCCTACCTCCCCACCCCGCTTCCCTCTTCCTTCTGAGATACAACAGTTTGTTGCATGCTTCAATGTTTCTGGGTCTAATTTGTTTGTCAGATTATTTTGTTCATTAGCTTCTTCTTAAAGAAGACCCTTTAATACTGGTTTGGTGGTGATGAACTCCTTTAGCTTTTTCTTATCTGTGAAGCTCTTTATCTGACCTTCAATTCTAAATGATTGCTTTGCTGGGTAGAGCAATCTTGGTTGTAGGTTCTTGCTTTTCATCACTTTGACTATTTCTTGCCACTCCCTTCTGGCCTGCAAAGTTTCAGTTTGAAACCAGCTGACAGTCGTATGGGTGCTCCCTTGTAGGTAACTAACTGCTTTTCTCTTGCTGCTTTTAAGATTCTCTCTGTCTTTAACCTTTGGCATTTTCATTATGATGTGTCTTGCTGTGGGCCTCTTTGGGTTCCTCTTGTTTGGGACCCTCTGTGCTTCCTGCATTTGTAAGTCTATTTCTTCTACAGGTAGGGGAAGTCTCCTGTCATTTTTTTCAAATAGGTTTTCAATTTCTTGCTCTGTTTCTTCTATTTTTGGCATCTCCATAAGGTGAATGTTGGGCCTCTTGAGTTTGTCCCAGAGACTCCTTACACTGTCTTCGTATTTCTGGGTTGTTCTTTTTGCTCTTCTGGTTGGCTGTTTTTTTCTTCCTCATAATCCAACTTGCTGATTTGATTCTCAGCATCCTCTACTCTACTGTTGATTCACTGTAAATTATTCTTCATTTCAGTTAGTGTAGCCTTCATTTCTGACTGGTTCTTTTTTATGTTGTTGATGATCTCACTAGTACCCTTAAAAGTCTTACTAAGATCCTTTAGCATCTTTATAACCATTGTTTTGAACTCTGTCTAGTAGCTTGCTTGGTTCCATTTTATTTAGTTCATTTTCTGGAGATTTCTTCTGTTCTTTCCGTTGTGACATGTTTCTTTGCCTTCATATTTTTGCTGCTTCCTGTTATTTGTTTCTATGTATTAGGTAGAGCTGCTATGTCTCCTGGAATTGGTAGAGTGGCTTTGTGTAGTAGGTGTCCTATAGGGCCCATTGGCTTAGTCTCCCCAGTCACCTGAGCTGGGCCTTCTAGGTGCTCCCTTGTGTGGGCTGTGTGCACTGTCCTATTGTAGTTGAGCCTTGGTTGCTGTTGGCATCACTGGGAGGAATTGATCTCCAGGCCAATTGGCTGTGAGGACCAGCTGCAGCTACAGCTGAAGAGATGCTGTGCTGGAGATACCCCTGTGGAGCAGGATTTACTTCAGTGAGGCTTTGGTATTCACCAAGTGCACCCCTTGACTGTGTCACTCATGGATGTGGGAGGGTTGTAATCCAGCGTGGTTGAAGCTGACCACTAGGTGCACTGTCTCTGGGGCTTCCCTAGAGAAGCAAAGTTAGTCTCTGCCCCTGCCCTGCCCAGGGCCACCCAGCATGAGCTACACAGCGGTCTGTAGTTGGCTGTTACTTGTGTTGGACTTGGAGGTGTCTAGGAGAGGCCAAGCTATGAACCAATGCAGGCTGCTGCTAGTGCCTGGCCTGGGACCACTTATGGAGAGGTATGGGACACTCTGAGGACAGCTGCTGCTTGTTTGAGAGATTTTAGGAAAGTCCTAAGCCTGAGGCAAGCCACTGGAAATGGCTTGCATAGAAAAGCCACTGGAAAGGGCTTGGATGAGCTTGCAAGTAGGGAGGGGCGGGGTCTCAGGAATTCACCAGGGCAGGGAGAAAACTGTGAGCCAAGTTGATGGAGATTCAGAAAAGTTACCTCCCAGCTCTGTGGGGGGAGGGCTCATCAAAGGAGCAATGGCCTCTGCCAGCTCTTCTGTCCGGGAGAAAGCTGCCCTTCCAGCTCTTTTCCTGGATTCCAGGCAAGTTAGTTTCTCCGCAAATGTCCCAGGTTCTTTTCCAGCTGCTGCCCAGCGCTGGAGCTCAGAGGGAGTGAGTCCGAGTAAATCCGTGCACAGGCCCTTTAAGGGGAACAACCTGGGAGTCCAGCAGCCTCCATGTCACTCAGCCAGAATCCCTGCTGGTTGTTACAGTCTGAAGCAATGGGACTTCTCTTCCCGGCACTGGAACCCTGGGCTGGGGGGCCTGATGTGGGCTGGGACCTCTTGCTCCTCCGGGAAACCTTCACGGCCAAGATATCCCTCCCGGGTTTAAATCTCTGCACCTGGGTCCCGGTTTCCAGTTTCCCTGATTCTGCCCAATTCTGCCCCGCGTCTCTCCCCCTCCTAGCTGTCCAATGTGCTTCGTCAGCTCCCTGGTTGTAGGGCTTCTGTTCAGCTAGATGTCAGGAGGTTCTGAATGATGGTTGTTCTGTATTTTAGCTGTAACTTTGATGTGGTTCTGGGAGGTGGCAGGTACCGCATTTACCTACCCTGCCGTCTTGTCCTCTCTCCCAGCAATTCCACTTCCAGTTAGTGTCCTAGAGAAATACGCCTCTGCACACAGACGCAGGAGCAGGGTGTGTGCTAAAGCACTATTTATAATGGGGAAAACTGAAGCAGCCAATGTCACCCAATAGCAGGCGAGTAAATACACTGATACATCCATGCTGTGGAATCTATGAGAAAGAAAGTTAACTTCAAAATGTCTACAAACAGCCCTGGCCAAGTGGCTCGGTTGGTTGGACTGTCGTCCTGTCCCCCCCCCAATGGTGGCAGGTTCAATTCCCGGTCAGGACACAAAAGAGATGCAACCAATTGATGTTTCCCTCTCACATAGATCTTTCTCTTTCTCTCTCTCAAATCAATAAAAGAAATACATCCTCAGGGGAGGGTAAAAGAAAAACACAAAAAAATATTTTAAAAAATCTACAAAACACGCTGTAGAGTTTTAATAAGTTGCATAATAGGAAACAAGGATTCCATTCATGCCAAAAGAAGACCATATATTTGTACATACAAATATGTGTGTAAAGGCATAGAAAAGAGTTCTGAAGAAACACACCAAATTCAGGCTGGCGGCTTTTTCTGGAGAAAGATAGAGATTGGAGGAAGGAGGGCTTTCCCCTTGACTGTGCATGTCTTTAAGTTGTTTGATCTTATTTACTTCAGTGGAAACCTCTCCATGTGTCTTTGCAATAAAATGTAGTTTTAAAATTGAAAATGCAGGGAGGTTGAGACAGTGACTTAGCTTTTGGTCCCTTAGGCTCCCAGGGTAGACACTGATATTGTTACACCTTTAGCAACCGGCCCTGTTCCTACCACGTGAAACCGCCGCCCGCTGCCGCTCGGGGGCCTTTGTTTCCGAGGTGCTGGCTGCAGTCGCCCTCTGCTGTGCTTGGGAGGCATCTACAGAAGCGCACGATGTAGCAGAGGGGACGCATCATGGGGGAGAAATGTTTCCTGAGTCTCGAGTCTGTGCCCAGAAGGAGCTGTGCCTAAGGAGGAATCCAGTCACTGAGGGGACATTAGCCTCTGAGGCCCTGAATTCTTCACGAAAAAGCTGCTTCATTTCCAAAATGTCACTTCCAAATGCATGGTGATTGCCTTGAAGGTGCGTCCTGAAGAGATGACCCTATTTCTCACTTTCATCCATTAGGTTATGAATTCATTAATGGATACCAGTGCCTCACTGTCACTGTGTCCAAAGCCTTTCTTCTGCTGGAAATTTCATCTGACCTTGAAAATCGGTTTTATCCCTCCCCTGTCACCTGCCTCTTCATCTGCAGAGAAGCTTTGCCTGTATTAGCCTATATTTGTTACCCAGGGCCAACACAAAAAGAAAGGAAAAAATAACTAAAGATTTATTGCTAAAAGCCCAGGTTTTTAAATATAAATAAATATATTTTATTTATTTATTTATTTATTTATTTATTTATTTATTTATTTATTTATTTTTAATCCTTACTTGAGGATATTTTTCACATTGCTTTTCAGAGAGTGGGAGGGGGAGAGAGAGAAACATTAATGTGAGAGAGACACATCAATTGGTTGCCTCCCACAGGTGGCCCTACCAGTGTGGGGAACCTGCAACCGAGGTATGTGCCCTTGACCAGGAATCGAACCCTCGACCCCTCATTCCATGGGCTGATTTTCTAACCACTGAGTCAAACTGGCCAGGGCTATATTTTATTTTTTATTTTTTTAAATTTAAATTTTATTTATTTGTTATTAAAAAAATATATCTTTATTGATTTCAGAGAGAGGAAGGGAGAGGGAGNATTTTTTTAAATTTAAATTTTATTTATTTGTTATTAAAAAAAAATATCTTTATTGATTTCAGAGAGAGGAAGGGAGAGGGAGAGAGAGAGAGAAGCATCAATGATGAGAGAGTCATTGATCGGCTGCCTCCTGCACACCCCTGACTAAGGATCGAGCCCGCAACCCGGGCATGTGCCCTGACCAGGAATCGAACCATGACCTCCTGGATCCTAGGTTGATGCTCAACTGCTGAGCCACACCTGGCCGGGCCAGAGCTATATTTTAAATAATAGTGAGGTTGAGTCATAAGAACAACATAAAATTGAGAAATAGGGATCCATTACACTGTATGGATTTAGATACACTGCTGTCCGGAGTGGTTCGCACCGAGTGAGTGGGATTGGAGAGGAAACCAATGGGGCGACTTTAGAAGCAGTGTGTACTGGCAGTCCACCAAATCCATGACTTCTGTTCACACACTGAAGACAATTAGGGGGTGCAAAAGTAGCAGATCACCTTAAAACCCAAAGTTTTAAGTTAGCTGTTTTTACTGTCTCTGGTAAATACACACACATACGCACAAATACACACATGCCCACTTGCAAGGGCTTGTGTACTGGTTTATACCTTATCTATGATGATTTGTGTCATGATTACTAATTCATCCATCCATTTGTTCAGCCATCCATCTGTCAACCAATTGTATTCCACACATTAAGATAAGAAATTTAAAAAACCACATTCAAGTAGCTTACAGTTCAATATCTCCAAAATTTCATCTATGAATTGGTAATCAATTAAATATGCAAAGTGAGTTCAGAGTTTTTATCTAATTTTGGTGCATGTGCAGTACTAAGAGAGTACTAAATGGAGAATATGAGAACTTGTACATGTTACTCTCTTTCTAATTTACTTCTAGCTGCTTACAAAAAAGAATTTGAGGCAGTATACAGTATGAAAATATGTCTATACAACAAGCCAATAAAAAAAATTAATTTGAAGCAAAAACAATTTTTTTAACTGGATGTCACCAAATACCTGAATTTGGTTAACTAATTAGTTGAATATTAAATTTAGCTATGAAATCCTGACAACTAAAGCAAACCATCTGCTCTCCCTATTGTTCGAGTGTGCCTGTGAGAGCTCGTGGGTGCCCAGCTGAGTGACCACTGAGCTAATAAACTGCTAAGGGCAGTATGTGGAAGTTGTCTGGGCCAGGCCTCGACCACGGGGCAGGAGCTTCAGATTCCAGTCCTGTCCTTGACTCACTTGGAGTGATTTTTGACCCTCTAAGGATCAAGTCATCCATCAAGTCAATATATTACTTAGTCGGATTACCAAGTTATGCCCTTTGAGCCAGTTCTTGGTTCTTTGGGCTCTCCGCCAATTGCCCTGCCTGGGAGGGATCATCAGTGGTCCAGTTCTGATCTAATTCCTATGCAGGGTTACCTTGAAACTCTCCAAGGCTCAGCTTCTGCTCCTGTATCAAGTTTATGACAGTTCTTGTATTTTCTAATACATCAAATGAATTGCTGAGCTACTCATAGTAGAGCCTGCAAACTGGCTTTTATTCTCAAATTGTTAGTAGTTAGCAAAGAGTTAAGAAGCTTACATTCCAATATAAGTCAACTATGTCTCTCAACACACTGTGCAATTCAGCTGACTCTTTTCTCCCCTCCCTGCCTCCCTCCCTCCCTGCCTCCCTCCCTCCCTGCCTCCCTCCCTCCCTGCCTCCCTGCCTCCCTCCCTCCCT